TGACGACAGGTCAGGTCCATATGAACAGGATCCTTCTTCCATCCTTTTCTCGGACTGGGATCTGTTCATATACGTTCTTGGCAGATGATCCATAAGTGGTTTGCCATTGCCTTCTTCTGTGTGTGAATGGAGTAATTGTTGGGATGCCACGGAGGAAAACTCCGTGTTGCCTAGACCACGGCCTTGCCCAACACAAGTTATAAATTCGGGCACCGCCGGGAATCGAACCCGAGAGACCCCAGGATTACAAGGCCAGCGTTCTAACCGCTAGACCACCGTGGCTCGAACTGGTACTATCCTGTACATTAAAGTAATGGGAATTTACAACAGAGTGGCTGGACGAAGCTTGTCACATTTATGACATAACCTCAACATCTACCTGGAAAGCGCCCGTGGCTAGAGTCAAATTGGGTTCCGTACTTTCTGTCTCTAGCCACGTGAAGGCCACGCCACTGTTCCTCCAGTTCTTGTATTCGCGGGAAGTTATGGCTTCCGCTCCGAAGGGGCGAAGCCTCATATGGTAATCCCAGTCGAACACTCCAATGCGGCTGTCGTACCGAGTAACCAGATGCTTTCGAAGACGTTTGTCCCAGTACAGAGAGATTGGAAACTTCGTCCTGGCCTCCTGCCAGAACTTGAATACATTCTCCAGGTGGTCCCGTTCTCTATACTTCAACTGATCAAGGCGCAGGAGTGGCATTCTTCCAACCTGTCAATAGATCGCATTATGCTTTCTCTGAAAGAATTAAATTAAGAGGAGTGATGTTGATTTTCTTTGTCGGACAACCACGTAAATGATTGCACGAATGGAAACAAGCAACATTGGAAGCTGAGCGGAAATCCTACTTTTCCAAATGAGATGTGCATCTGGAGCAAGTGATCCTTGACCTGCCTTTTAAGATACTATCTCACAATCATCTAGCGAGAGATGAAAAACACTGAAACCCTTAGCTAGTGGTGCTTTGCAGTGCAGTATATTTCCCCATTGTTTTATTCCCGTTTACCATAACCTATTACTCCTGAAGCCATTTTATGTCAAGTTATTCTCCCGTTTACTATTCCTGAAGCCATTTTATGTCAAGTTATTCGTTTATAACACTGCCCTATTCGACAATTATCTTAGCTTATTATTTTCTGTCAAATGAGGTGGGTTCCGATTCGACAATTATCTTAGTTTATTATTTTCTGTCAAATGAGGTGGGTCCTGGTTCAGAACTGCCTCTTCCTTTGCACGTTTGGGTTTGTTATACTCAGCCATAACCTAAAAGTTACGTTATTAAGATAACCTACAGATAAATATATCGTGAACATACCTGGAAATCTAAATCCGTAACCATGTGTACGAATTGAGCAGACTTCCGTGCAATGAAATTTGCTGTCGTAGGACGAACAAGGGAGTTGCCATAGAGTTCAAGAAAGAGACGGGTCTTTTCTTGTAAACCCAATTTTTCTGGAGGCTCCAGAGCAATAGTTAGCAACATCACTTGTCTGGCAACTAAATCTAAACTTGCTTCATAGACATAGAAATTTATACGCTGTGTTTTTTCATGTCTGTACGTCTGAGCTAACGTCTTCAGAATATGCCTTCCGTCTGCAGCACCAACTAATAATATATTTAATTCTTTCAGATTTTTATAATTCTTATGTTTATACTGCTCCCATTCAAGTCGCAGATCTAAGGCTGGACTATAACCCCACCACATTACGTTCTTACGAAATCAGAAGCAAGAATCTACTTTTCCTCCACGAATTTAACACAGCTGCAAATTAAGATGCACCAAATAAACAAGACCGGTTGCTATGACGATACGTTATAAGCGTACGTAACTTTGAATCCACCAACCTGTTTCTTAACTAGAACCAAGACAATTTGCGTCGGCAGAGGCTACACGAGGTCCACATGGATCCTTTGAGAGATTTCATCCTCTATAGCCTTAACCAGACCAGTGTCGAGTCCTACACAAAGGCAGAACCTTCACACCCCGTTGTTATCAACTGCATGAAACAGACCAAGTGCGAGTATGATGGGGTGACATCGAATGGTATTAACGTTCACGTCACATTTCATTACAATCAGTCCAACAGTTCTCGAGTTTAAACACGCCACAGACAAATGTTCCACTTACAACTCAACCCTAACCTCTTCACAAAACGATGAACCATGGTAATATCGATTTCTCGCAGTTGTGCTTGAAATCGAAATGGCCGTAATTTCCAGCTGATTTGTCGCTACATTAACAGCAGTCACAGACAAAAGACATCTGCATCCCGAGATTTTGCTACCGGCAGGTGTATTGTCTTATTCGGTACTTCCTTGTCAAAAACAAGCATTCCTAAACACTTTCTTCACGAAAACCAGCATTACAGTGATTAAGGATGAGATGGGTGGGTCATGTAGCATACACGGGAGAATAGCACTCACATTTTTGGTTCGAAAATGTTAAGGAATGGTTAGGCTGACTTTTGTATAACGAGGGCAGCAACAAAATTAATCTTAATCTGGATTAAGACATGGTCCAAACGTGAGTTCTACTAAACACATAAATTAATCTTCAGGATCCTTAAAAGTTTTCTTTGTGTACCCAAATAATTAACATTTCAAGGAATATTTCACAAAAAGAGGTACATTCACAGGTCCTAAACAATGAACTAAGTGACTATAAATAAACAATCATGTGCAAATCACTATTTCCTTTATTTAATAACAGAAAAAGTATTATTAGGGGGCCCATTTCTAAATTTATGCAGTGGGGTCCAAAATTTTATATACCAATAAGGACAGGACATAAAACAAGGCATGCCAATTTAATATGCTAGCCTATACCAGTATATACAGCAGGATATTTGTGTAGGCACAACATCGTATTATTATTATTCTTAAATAAATGACTGGTTTAAACTTATTCTGTACAAAGGATTAATGCAAAAAAAGATCACTCACCATCACCATCTTGAATGGTCTGAACTATTACAATAGTTGAAGAACAATGTTAGCATTAAAGCATTTTATAATAAAATTAAATATTACCATAATTAAGACAGAATCCTTCCTTAATCCCTTCACTCTTACTGAATGAAAGAGTCCCACTGCTCAGGGCTCTGGAAATACAAATTAAATTCACCAATCACTTGTAATTTTCATGAAATATTAAGCTCAGGTAACAGCTTTGCACTTTTCAAAACAAGAATGAACATTCCAAAATCATCAGTTCTTTAAACATTTCTTGCGTTCGTACAGAAGCTAAAAATATTAATGGCCAATTTCCATAAATTTTCCCGGCGGCATAAAAAACAAGTGTACTTCCGGAGCCCTGATTCTGCCAAACGTACAGAATGCCACGACATTCATCTTTTAGTCTCAGAAATTCCACAGCAGAGAAGAAATGTCTGAAATTAGTGTCTTAGACACAAACTTAGTTATAACAGCAAATAAACATACAAATGAAATATTGCATTTTTAATGTAATTCTGACAATCAGACTGACACCGGCCCACACACACAGCTGACCGACACATTTCCTTTTATTAACAGTAAAAGGGATAACACAACACAAGTTTGATGTCAAATTAACATTAACACGTAGCCTCTCTTACACAACTAATAACATTGTTCTCCTGTAATACAAATCACATTCTAGTACCCTGGCCCATATTTACATTACTCACGTAAATCTGTTTTGGAACTTTAATACAGTATTTTAAATTCTCTACCGTCCCCTCATCTTATTATTGTCAAGCTCACATGAACGTGATGTTGCTACAACTAAGGGTCACACAGAAGTACGAGGCATACAAACAAGGAACTTCTCCTTTCTATCAACACACAGACTTCGTTTGTTTGTTAGTTAATAAACAATAATGGACAGATGCTTGTGGAATGGAACAACAGCTGTATCACACATGAATGGAACGCGCATGGCTTGTTTCGCAATATGACACAGTGCAGACTGGGAAATCTGCCCACTGCTTTAATACCAGACAAGAACATTAATGTATTAAGCCCGTAATTCAGCATCTATAAACCTGAGCCTTAAGCGACTCGTGAGCCGGGCTTGGATATATTTCACCACACATAGCAGACTCGGCTCATGACACCCCACCCACAAACGAGTTTGGCTCAATGGAACCCGCGCCGAGCCGGACTCGTACGTGGATTGGCCGCTTTAGATCGAAAACAAGCCGTGATATTATTGACAGCTGGCACAATTTCCAAGAACCATTAATAAATCCTATTCTAAAGTACTGTAGTATGACCAAAAGTAAGAAAAAGCATTTTGTTTTATGCCCCCTGTTGACCGACACACAGCTAAAGATTCACAAACAGCGGGGACAAACAGCAACACATAAAATGTGACTGGATACGACTGAACAACACCTACGGCCGAAATATTAAACTTTATACAAACAGTAATATCCAATCATGTGGGTGATGTTGCCGTCATACAATAATACCAGCCTTTATATTTGGTAGACACGATGACGCATCAATAACTTGAGATCAACAACTGAAGACCTGGGAGCAACGGTGGGCTAACCCACAAAGTTGGAACATCTGGAATAATAAAAATGTTAATCTATCTTTATGTTAAAATACAGATGTGCTAAGTCACACGTGGGTTCTTTTCTTTAAAAGCACGTCTTTCCAGAATCTTAAAAGGTGAAATTCCATGTCTTTCCAGAATCTTAAAAGGTGAAATCAGAGCAACAATTCCTAACTTCGTCTCCGTTTTCCAGTTTAATAAAGTGAGGTTAGCCCACTGATGCTCCCACATCTTTAATTTAAAAAATGCACAAATAGGAGATTTATAGTGCGTAAACCATTTCTGGGGGGAAAAAAAGCAATAACACAAATGAAGAGGTAATGTAAACAAGTGATTCTCTCTTTTTTAGAACAGGGATCATTTTAGAATGCACAAAATACAAAATTAAACATTACAAGCGGCCTGTGCGAGAATTATTATGTACTAAGCGTCGTACGAAGATGTCAGGGTAAAAGTCTGAATATGACTAAATCAGATCAACAGACAATGAATGGATAAACACATGCCCACTTCACACCACTTTCAACAAAAATATTTTCAAAACTTGTATTATCAGGAAACCATTTTAAAGTAGGAAATGAGTGATGGTGTCCCGAGAATCACTCAAGAGAAAATCCTTTAGTTACAACAGTAACAAATCATACCACTCCATTTGCTTCACATTACTTCACGGACAACATCTGAACAAACCGTGTTCAGTACAAAACAGTGCATTCAGAGCTGAAACTTATCCATACAACATCTAAGCTGAGTTACTGAAATATTGTACCTTACATCTCATCAGTAACAAATTGCTATGAAACTTACGAGACACGGTACAAGCTCTGGAAAACAAAATGCACATCAATTTATTTTTCCAATGAAAAATTCTTGTTTTAGCCTCTTCAGCCACAGTCACTTGGACCAAATACTTAAAATATCTTAATGTGTACCTTCTCAACAAGTAATATTTTCAAAAAACATTTTACAGCCTCATTACCGCTCATGTGCAAAATTCAACTGATATTAAGAAGATTTCTGTTTTCTAGGTTGTTGCGCTGTGTAGTCTGGTCGATGTTTACCAACATTTCAGAGGTCATACTGCACATTCATCGCCCTGAAGACAGAGGCAGTATGACCTCTGAAACGTTGGTAAACATCGACCAGACTACACAGCGCAACAACCCAGAAGACAGCCATCTTCATACTCGCTGCTGTGAGAACATCAACTCCAACCAAAGCCTGCATTTCACAAACTAACAATCAGGTAACAAATGAGGAGATAATTTCTTGCGTTCAGAACGCTACAGTCTACGTACAAACATTTCTTTGCCTCAGCTTAGCCTTTCCTACGTGACACTGCTAGCCAAGTACCAGCAATGCAAAATATAATTAAGACACTTTAATGACAACCCACACAGCAAATAACAAACTCAATTTACGAACCAAAATATAAACTGACTACACTTCACAATGCCTTACATCAACTGTAAATCAAGTGCTCTTGCTACCAACACCTTACCAGATCCACTTCAATATTACCCAGACAATCAGCTTTTGAAAATTACTCTTATAAATAAACAAGTCTGCATGTCTTTCGCAATAATGATGCAGCCGACAAGTGTACAACTTGCAGAAATGTGCCACGTCATGCCTCCTCGCCCTCGGCGCAGAACAGTTCGACAAGACATTCAGAACTTAGCCACGGAAAAAGCTCTGATTTCAGCTGAACGTCACAACCTGTTACCTTTACATCTGCATGTCTTTTGCAATAATGATGCAGCTGACAAGTGTACAACTTGCAGAAATGTGCCACGTCATGCCTCCTCGCCCTCGGCGCAGAACAGTTCGACAAGACATTCAGAACTTAGCCACGGAAAAAGCTCTGATTTCAGCTGAACGTCACAACCTGTTACCTTTACAAGTGTTAGACGCACAGAAAAGCATTCTAATGAATTTAATCCTCGAAAGATAACTATAGCATGTTGTAATTTTGATTACAGTGGTTGTTGGTTTCAGCCAATGGGCACGTTATAAATGCTCCTTCCAGTATACATTACCAAATTATATTCTGCCATTTAATATAAGACATTACATAACAGTAAAATAATATTAAGGATCATAAGTAAACAAATAGGTATTCTTAACACCCTTGTACCTATTTGACGAACCACGTACATTAAAATACATGAGAAGATTATAAGTGTTAAGTATTGTCTTTATTTTTGTAGTAATACTGTGTGCAACAGAGGAAACGCGTGTTTTTTCGAATGGCTAGTACTTGGCAAGGAGGGTGGGGGATTTCCGCCCCTTGCTAATAGACAGCTTAGATGATGCAGTTTCACTAGCCATGGCACCGTGGACCCGCGAGCATCGGGTGTTTGTGATTGAAAATTATATCAAAAGTGATGAATCCATAATTGCTGTTCATCTCCCGTTTCAGTGATATCCCTTGGCCGCCTCGCTCCTCTGACCTGTCCGTATGTGACTATTTTTTGTGGGGTTACCTCGAATCAAAGGTCTACAGAAACAAACCACGCAACATCCAGGAACTGAAAGATTCCATTCGCCAGGAAATCGCTACTGTGGGGCAAGAAATGTTGGGAAGAGCAATGCAGAATTTCGAGGAGAGGCTGCAAGAGTGCGTACAGAAGGAAGGTCTTCACTTGACGGACGTTATTTTTCGGAAGTGATTCAAAAATGTTCAACAGAAACTGCATTGTAAAACCTTTCTTTTTGTGTAATTAATTTTTTTTAACTTTAAAATCAACCAAGTTATTGTTATTTGAAAAACATGCGTTTCCTCTGCCGCACCTGGTATAAATGCTAGTCTATCAGAAAGCTAGAAGGCTTTCAACTGGACTTGACAGAAATTCAGTACCTTACACTTCTGTTGATATCTTAGCCTGAGCTCAAGGTGGAATGAAGTGAAATGGTATCTGAACAGTACATGAATTTTCCGTCATGTTTGGCAAAATGAAAATTCCAAGGATGATATACTTGTCACACATAAGGTTCCCTCCCAGCTGCCACCCTCTCTTCAATCAGCTGTTTTTTCATATGTTTTACAATTTAAATAAAAGTAATCAAATTCATGTCACAAATCTAATCTTAATCATCACATTCCCAGTCTAAACTGGCAAGAATTTCACAAACCTTCCAGTACCTTTGAACTACAATGGCTACAGTAATCAACATACTTATTTTATAATTTAAAATCTATAAAATTAAACAATCTGAAGTTAATTTCACCAAACAACCAGTGACAGATGTTTCAAAACCATCAGGGAACAATCATGTTCAGATGTATTCTCTTGAAACCATTTTCATTTAACCACACATATATATACATGCTCATCAGCGTTTAAATACCTAAAATTGCGGAAATTAAAAAAATAAAGCACTTTTCTGAAGTTACCACCTCACTTCACATTCCACTTTGATAACTGAATATATCCGCTAACTATGACAATTTATTCATATAAATAAAATAAAACTTTCATCCCAAAATTCAGTCATCATACCACATAATCATTATATTAATATACTATTATATAATCATTATTGTATTATGTGGCTTAAAAGCAAGGAAACTGACTTCATAATTAAATCACTGATATAAAATATTACCGCTACTTGGATGACAGTTCGTACCATGGATTTTTGCTGTAGTGAAGCTGGAAGCTCACTTTTCTTTATACATTTCAAAGCAGAACAAGACGCGCGTGTGCAAATTTGGAATATGGTAAATTTTTAACCATTAGATTTTCTCATTAACAAATGCATAATGCAAGAGTTTTGTTTGACATACTCATATAATTAACATCCACTAATTATGAACAATGGATCACATGCAACATATACAAAGTGTGGAACAAATAAAGAAGTATGTAGCGACTTCTGAGCACTTGCTAAGTTTGCGTCTATAATATACATGTCACGGTGCAGTTTGTTTTTTGTGCTCAACACAGTAATATGACACTGCAATTGACTCTTTTTCAAACGCTCTCAAGGAGAAATATAAACTGAGTCAGGTAAGTTGGTACACAGGTATTAACCGTTACCACGCACACAATGTACACACTTCACATATTACAAGTACTGTAACTATAGAATCATTAAACTCTTGTGTTGAGGTTCAATGATTTAGCAGTTTTTTAAACATGAACAAACCCCAAAACAATATTAAGGCATTATGAATGAGACTTTAAAGTTGTTAACTGATCTCAAGTATATACAAAAATGTACATCACATATAAGTGACAGGGGATTTGTAATTAATCATTTTTTTTAATCAAAAGGAAAGCAATGTGCAACTTTGTTGTCACCTACCAATATTACAGCATTATAACAGCTTTTGTTTATTTTTCCACATCACATATACCCTTATTCAGCATACTTTTTAAATATCATGTAAGAAAAAAGAAATACAGGTTCCATTCTACAAGAATAAGTTTCATCTATCTCCTTTATTATATCAAGGATGAAGAATTAGCACCATTAGAAGTGGAAAAAAAAAAAAAAAAGGATTCTGTACATGTCTTAATGACAGAAGAGAGAAAAAGAGAACAGCTTACTTGAGCAAAATTCTATCACTTGGAGTCGGAGTCGAGTCCAGTCAAGTCAGTTTCCATATCTGAAGGGTTGAATCGACAGGTGTCTATATTGGACACAGAAATGTTTGCCATTTTTAAGTAAAAAAGAATACAGTTGTAAAGGTGGTACGTTTCTGCAATACCTCACTGCAGAGTTCACCGCTGTACTTTCAAATAACAAAGTCTTTGGAATATAAATTCGATAATTAGCATTGTAAATTACCGTCCTCCTTTTATCCGTCTCCGCTCAACTTGTCATATCCACATTCTGCAAGACTTGTAAAAATTTGGTTGCTCCAAATATTACTCGCTTACTAGCACCTATACAACTATTTTCTACTGGTCAAAAATGGTCCAGGTTTGTCAGTAAGTCAACAGATGGCAGCCTCACAGTTCACAAAATATAGGTAACAGAAGAAAATAACAGCGGTCAATACCAAATTTGTGCAAGTAACAAGGACCCTACACTGTCACGCACATTGGAACGACTAAATCGAGACGACCGTGAAAAACTGAGCCACACAAGCTGCAAAATTATCTGGTTGAATGTCATATATGAAAACCACTAGTGAAATTTTAAAAGCCAACAAAATTTTTAAAATTATGGAGGTCATTGTTAACTGTTACACATCTTCAACAGTTTATTCCTGAAACAAAATTTTCCCTGTTTTTATTCCATAAAAAATATGTGCAGTTCTGGAAGTTTTACCCCTATTAGAATTTTTCTAATCACAGTAGCTCATATGTGCCCATTAACAGTTACCAATTTCCAAATAAATACATCCATTACCAATCTGTAACTTGCATTTATCTGGCAATGTTAAAAGTAAAGTTTTGTAGGGTAAGGGGAAAATATAACAGAATTTAAAAACGTGAACTTCCTAATTTACCTCAGTTACAATATTTTGTAAAATTAAGAGAACTCATTGCCACTTGGACTGTTCTGATTTTATTTATCTGGCATAATTTCAAGTTATGAAGTTAGTGACTGTTTCGGGTGGAAGTTGTTTTTTTAACAATCCCCACCATGAAGACTGCAGAATAATTGTAGTAGTAGTTAAATTCCTCTCAACCGCAAACGTACAAGTAAATGATTTGTCACATGCTGCAATCCGCAGAGCAAAGAAACCCTACAACGCTTCACACTCCACAGACTACAGCCATTCAAAAATCATAAATCTGCAACGATGCCACATGTTGAAAGAACATCTTAACCTCACAAAAATGAAACACAACTTACATAGTTTGTAATACGCTTGTGTCGCAATCAGACATTTAAACAACACTCTCAAACTGTCGTCTGGTAGAAACTATACAAATACCATTCATCAGGATCTGATTTAATTATTTATAGTGCCAAAATTTGACTAGTGCAGAATAAAGTTACAAACTGGAACATTTTTGCGAATCTTAAAATACAATACCTTTCAGTACTTATTCACACTAGATTTAAGTTATTCATATGACAGAACCATCTCACAGATAAGAGTGTTTTAAATGCTCCTCACAAGTACAAACTAGAACTATGAAGGATTATGGACTAATAATGGGATAATATACAATGTTTGTTCTGTACCGTCACAGACCGAACCAAGATATATCATGGCAATGAAAGATGCAAATTTTATACATGGACCCAGGAAAATTGTATATATATAAAAACATGGCACAGCTGCTAAATAACATTACTCCAAGTCCATGATCAAATCATCTGCATTTGTATGACTAGTACGTATGTGTTTCACTGTAACGCTGCCTGGTGTAAGACAAAATTATTTAGACCAAAGGAAGCAATACAAACCATGCCAATATTCAAACATTTGTTTTCCTTTCTCGCATGTAAACAATCACACAGAATCGTAAATAAAGTCCAGACTTCCACATCAACCACAAAATAATTTGTACAACACCTGAACTCCACATCAAAAATGAGTACGAGCGTAATTAATCCTTCCCTGCATATAAATATATCCTACTCAATTAGGACCAACTCAGCAGACGGCTGTTCCACGAGACGGAATGACTCACCAGTGGGGTCACGCTGCCCGTAAGTGTTACTGGTTACCTCATTAAGACCGCAACATACAACATACCAGTGGCCATATTGCACCCCGTGTTTCAAAGTGTTCACCACCTGCTCGGTGATAAATGTCTCATTACAATTCCAACCCTGCACAAAAGTCACAGTTACTATTAATTTCAGAATAAAAATATCTGAATTTATACAATTCCAGCATTTTCAGCATGCCATTTGATCCACAGCTGTTTACGTTTCTTCTCCATTTTTGACTAAATTCTTATAAAATGCAACGCCCATACAAGTATTCACGTAAAGTGGAATCTGGCACAAATGTGTTGATCTCATATATTTCTGTCAGTACAGACTTCTTCTGCTACCATTATTTTGCGCCCTTTCTACAGATCAGTTGTGTGGTGCCTTCTTGCCACTCATGTAGCCAATCCAACGCTCTGCAGTCGCTGTCAGAAGAGGGTCATGGTCAATAGTTGCCAGCAGAAGCAGCTGATTTACATGGGTGGCATGATAATCCCATCGGGCCAAGTTTGGCGCTATACCTAGCATGAAATGCCTGAGATCATAAGTAGTCCCAGACCCAGTATCATATAAAAGTAAAAGTTGTTTCAGTGAGACCATTCCTTGTCTGAACAGTTGGGTAGCCTGCTGCGATGCAGAAGGAGCAACTACGCCCAAGTCATATAACCCAAGCAGAGCATAGATGAAGCCATTGAGAACAAATGAGGCAGGCTGTGTGGGATACTCTTCGTACCAGGGAATGTGCCCCAAGAAGCGAGCCAGGACTCCACCAGCTGAACTTGCCACCTCAAATGGTCGTAGACCAGCCAAAGCTGAGTGGAGGTATGAGGTATCGCCACCTGAATGATGGTACGCGCGTGCCAGAACGGACAAAGCGTGACCCTGCCCCATTGCTGAGTACCTATCATGGTAAGACACAGCTACTATGTACAAACTGGAATTCCAATCTAAGATATTTCAATGAAAACAGATTTGGTAAAATATTAAACATTGAAGATTAAAGTCTGGAGTCATGAAAAGTGATTCCTATTTTAGAGAATGGGGTTCATATCATCATCATCAGTGATGGGGAGGTGGGGCTAATGACATCATCATTTTCAGAAAATACATCTTGAGAAACTGACAGAATCACTAATTATGGAATAAAAAGTATCAAAACAATGTAACAAAAACAAGTTTAGCCACAATCCGTTCATATAATAGCAATACAATTCAAGGCAGCAGACCCCAAAACAACCAAGGTCGTAATTACCAACCTATGTCACAATACACTATGCAGGAAAACCAATTAATTACATATTAAAAGTATGACTGTAATTTGAAAGACATAAACCCCTATTGCTGACATACAAAAAAAAATTTAAAAATCTGTTATCGTTTGCATTTATTCATCTTTCATGGTGATATTTTGGCCTAACAAATTATTGTTCAATGTTCCTATACTATTTAAATGCAAATGTAGGAAGTGAGAGTGATGAAGTCAGGAATGGTGACGACCGATATTGTGAAAAAGAAGATGGGAACTGTAAAGAGAGTGAAGCTGAGAAAGCCAAGAAGAATAATGAAGACAGAACAACAGGTGAAACTGGACAAAGACTAGAGACTTTAAGATCACAATAACGGAAACTGATTTAATATGGTAAAGTGCAGCACGTTCTCAAATATTTATCTTTCACATGAGCGATTATAGCAACTACATAAAATTCATAATTATTTTTCTTTCTACACAGACACGCTTCATAGCGCAAGGCCATCTTATATTTGGAGTATTTCATTCAGGTAAATATGGTAGTTAACTACTAATTATGATGGCTAGGCAAATGATGTCATGTTACGAGGCTCTAATTTTCTACTAACAACTTACCAGCCTGGTTCAAGATCGGCCATGCCTGGAGCTACACGTCGACGAACAGGATTAGGCCAGCCACCGGTGGAAGCGTCTTGGTGGAGCACCAGCCACTGTGCTGCATCATAAAACTGCGACAAGTGCTCACTGGTTGACAGCGTCAAGTTATCCAGCTGACCCGAACCACGAAATGTCAGGCCTACCACCTAAAATAAGGAAGAAAATCACATAATAACTGAATTTTTATAAGAACAACCATCAAATTACAACAAAAATTCACGTTATATTTACTGTAGGCCTGATAAGTTTCAACCTCTAAAGGTCATCACCAGAGGCACCTTTCAGTTGTTTACAGTTTAAGTCACTTAACATTTTACAGTATCTACTTACCATTATTCACATTATTCATTCATTAAAATGCCAATAGTTACTTCTAATAAGAAGAGTGAACAGAATAAAATGTTACGTATAAATTCACTTAAAACACGAAGAAATCCAAACTGCTCAAAGGCTGTTGGGAAATACTATAACCAACCACAATACTTTGTATTAATTTTCAATAATTCAAACTGAGTTTTCCCCACTAGGAGCGAGTTTCCAGCCCATTTTAACTGTTTTTCACTATTAGTGAATGAGTCTGGCATGCATTCAAATGATAACATATATAATACTTACTACTGTAATGACAAGAGTTCGCATCAAAGCATGATACTTTTTCAAAGAGGTCTGACGTTCGAGGCTAATAATATTGTATAATCCTGGAAACAGGTTTTCTGAAGTCAATGTGCAGAGATCGAGGAAAAACAAAGTGCAATTAGCAGGTGCAAGCGTAACCAGAAAAGTATTCTAAAGATCTAAAATGGGGCATTAGGTAAGACATGTTTATGAATAAAAATTGTATGTACAGACTGTAACTTAACAAGGAATAACATGACTTTCCCTCAACATTTTTCATTACGAAAGCAGGAGAAGTGTCTCAAAAGGTTGCCTCATAGCTGGTATTTACTACGCACAATGTAAAGAACAGAACCTTGAGCTTAGCAGGAGAAGTGTCTCAAAACGTTGCCTCATAGCTGGTATTTACTACCCACAATGTAAAGAACAGAACCTTGAGCTTGGATCTGGACAGTTTTCTCTTCGGTTTATTCTGGTACGCCAATCCCTTGTGCAGGTCAACGACAAGGTCACGAGTAAGTCTTCGCCATGGCTGAGTGTGTTCACAGTGTCCAATGCCGTGATACACGTACTGATCTTGCGCTGAGATGAGCAGATCGGAGCATATGTAGTGCAAATGAAAAATCTGGTCCCGTTTCTCTCGTGACTGAAGAACAACTGTGAAACTGCTGTTGATAGTAAATACGAAGTTCAGACTCAGAACGAAGTCAAGAACATGATCCAGTTTAAGCGAAATACCACTTGTTACCGAGTCTGAAACATGAGAAACTTACATCAATAAATTTGGCACGTTTATTTAGTCAATGTTATGCAACTGTTCCTGTTTTACTGACATCAGAATGCAAACAGCAAATTATCATTAAAATCTGCCGCATAAATGGAAGATCATTCTTACAAAGACTTAGAAGCTTGGTCTCATTTTGAATAAATTGAAAGGTTATAATATAGAAATAAATAAACATAACTCTTATAAAGGAACCTGAGAAATAATCGACAAACATTTTGTAAAACTGAGTTGTTTACTGATTCTGTGTCGATTATAAAAAGCTGATAATGATGGCAGGATGATTATGAACAGTGCTTAAGCAAGGCAGTAGAAAAAAGATAGTGGTGGCCTATTTTCAGGTAATATATCTTTATTCAACTGGAGAGGCTGAGGAAAACCATACAACCCTCAGTCCTCATAATAAGTCTCAAATAACAAGCAGGAATACTGATCTCTACACCACTATTCTGTGTGTAAATATAAATTTTTCGTCACCACACTCATCATTTTGCCGCATGTTCAACGCAATATCACAGATTGGCGTAAAAAGTTTCATGACATAGGTATTCCTGTGATCACAAAGAAAATTTGATCAAGCACTTCAGAAGATACTGAATAAGGCAGCACTTACACAACCAACAATTACAAACCTTCAAATCAACAGTGCACTCGATTTTACATTAATGTTTTGCAACGTCAAGCCTACAAATTTCACTTTTTCCAAAAGATTTACCGACGAGGCAATGATCAATGTTTACGGCTTGCTACAATCATTCTAAATTGTGAAGTCTGTGGATTAAGCTACATTTCAAGTACATCAAGTATTTAAGGTTAACATATCTGAAAATGTTCGTAAAATTCTACATGTTGATGAATTCATCTACCAAATTGAGAATCATCAAACAATATTAAATTTAGGTAACTTAGCTACATACCTGGACTTGAAAACTGTACCACATGACTACCAGTACGTGGATCCAATATTCTACTCAGTGCTGCACCATTTGGCACCACCCAATGCGCTAACAAATCACTTTCTGCATCTTCAAGTACGGTACGACGAGGTTCAGGTTCTGTGAGATTCTTGCTGTAGTGAGACAAGCCGAACTGTGCTATTTGTGTTGGATAGTAATAACCCTGACTCTCCCATTGCGTGGACACCGGTACACCTGTAACAATAATAACAAAAATTATTTCTAATTCTCACAGTTGCACTCTTCTGAATTATTCTAGTATAGCAACATATTAGACCTAAATCTGCGTACACAGACATTATTGTATTAATTTTAATTCTTCTTTGTAACCGCATACAATTTTTTTTATAAACTGCACCTCTTTTCGTAGTAATTCTCTTTAATTGTCTGTCATGCACTTTAGTGTGAGAACTAATTTATTCTATTTTAGAAGTACTATTATCATTATCATTATTATTGTTGTTACTATCATTTCTATTATCTCTTTGCACTAATGTATCGATATTACCTAACGCATATTTATAAACAAGTAACTCCTGTTACATGTGCTTTTGCTATCCTCATTTCCGCATACCAGTGGTTTTATTTTAGTATCATAAAAAGCATAAATATCCTACTTTTGGAAAACTTCTCCAGGCTTATCACAGAATGTGAATCAGATGATAAACTTAGCATCAATGCTGGTGCCAGCTGAACATCAAAATTCCAAATGTATATGTAACCCAGTTTATGGGTTTTCAATAAATGCAGCAATTCCCAGAAACGCAACTCCCATGCACGATGAGAGTCATATGTACCGTCAGATGTGATACAAAGATGAAGCAAAGCACTTCCTATTATCACGCTATGTTACGAGGCGCGTCCACAAAGTAAGTTTCCCACTCGTCCCACAGCTAGCAAACCTTATATTGCGCGAAGCGACTGTGCGTACGTGATAGAGCAATGACGTAGCATGGCCCATGCACTAACGGTACTTCCCGCGTTCTCACAGTAGCATCGTTGCAGCTGTTGAAGATGGAGGTTCTTATTCCAGCTCCCGCCGCCTGTGAAGTGCGGTCAGTGATAACGCTAGGCCGCACACGGTTCGACGGACAGCAAGTCTCCTGCAGGAGTTTAGCTGGGAGGTGTTTAATCATTCACCCTACAGCCCGGATCTCGCTCCCAGTGATTTCCATCTTTTCCTACACCTCAAGAAATTCCTGTCCGGTCAGCGTCAGCGTTTTGAGAATGACAGAGAGGCGGAGATGGTTGTCACACAGTGGTTCCAATCCCAGGCGGGCGACTTCTACGACACAGGTATTCAAAAGTTGGTCCCACGGTATGACCAATGTCTCAATTCCGGTGGCGAATATGTTGAAAAATAGCTGGACACTTGCTGTATCTGTTGCAATAAATATTTCCATGAAATTGTGTTTTGTTTCTGTAAACGGCCCCAGGGAAACTTACTTTGTGGACGAGCCTCGTATTTTCTTACACTTCATCAGAATTATAATACATAAGTGTTTGAAACGTCAAAACTGAGACAAGAAAGTATCTCACCACTGCATGTGTTTAAGAAAATACAAATACAAGCGGCCTATTTACCTTCTGTAGCACTCACACACTTCACGCGGTCCCGCACTTCCACATTGTAGTTTTCGAAGTACATGAATACTCCACGGGGGTCGTATTTTCCTTTCGGATAATATACTTTGGAATAGCTGTGAGACCACTCAAACCTCTCATAGCCATCGTAAGTCGCTAATTTTCCATAAACCTGAAATATAACACTGCACTGTTTGTTTTACTTAAAATAAACTTTTATAGAACAAACTTTAATGAACTATTCAGCACCAAGTCACGTGTTACTGCAGTGTTAATTTTATTTCATAATAACAAACATCAATTAGCTGCTTTACACAAAGAACAATGCTTAAAATGTAGAAAATCAGTTTAAACATGACATACCTCAAAATACTTCTGCAAAAAGGAGAAAGGTAGATAGATTTCTCCGCCTTCTTTGCGACAACCTATACTATGTTCTCCATTGATATTACATTCAATTTCTTCATACCCCTGTAAATCACTGTTACCACCATGTTCTACAACCTCTCCACCATATGTATCCTGTGAGGGAAGGACAAGCATCAGTTATCCCTTCAAATTTGACATGGATTTCTAGTGTCAAGTTTGTTATGATACTGGATTAAACATGATATTCCAAATATCAGATTAAACCTGACATTCTCCTTCAAGACTGAATTGACTACATGGTAAACTACCACTAGCATTGTTTTTAATTTTTATTTTAACAATGTTGGGATTATCTAGTCCAAATTGGATGCTGAGTCTTTGTTTTTCTGAAATGAAGAAACTGGGATTAAATAACATTGCGAATGGAGGTACTCATATGTTTATTTCAGGGATGAAGAATAGCTCCTGTACAACTGAAGAAAATGAACTGGTGAATAAATGACTTACAATTGTTTTTAATATGGCATTTGACCAATAAAATATTTTAAAATTCAACAAGTAAAATCAATGTTCAAACTAAACTGTCCTAGCTTTCCTCTCTAATTAATTTTCACAAAATTAAGACTAAGCTGGAAACTACTTACATTGGGCAGAGTTGCTTAGGTAACCATCAAAATCTCTGCCTTAGGGAGCCCAAAGGTTCATTACCATGTTCACAAGAGCCTGTCAGTAGAACCTATCTAGCACCAAACAAATCCAGTCCACATCCTCAGATCCAGTTTTTTTTTAAAAATAGCAACTTGTTATATTTCAAATGTTTTCTACATCAAGACCACACAAAAATTAAATCTATCTGTACAATAAAGTGTCCAAAAAGTGTGATTTTCTCATCAGTTCCTTCCAGTCTAATTGAATATCTAAGTCCTTACTACTTTAAGGTTTACATGCGTCATGTTTGTGTTTTGGATTAAAATATATAATATAATACAGGTCAATACACAAAACTATATTTGGGTGTTAAAATTTAAAATTTAAATGTTAAAATTTTAAATTAGCGCTATTCATCACTAGAAGGATGTTACATTTGAGCGCTTTCATTCATTTTCACAACATGTTTCGATGTAATACATCATCTTCAGGTGTTGTTTTTTATTTAAAACTATTCCATATTATAATGCATGCCTTTCAATAATTTATTATTGTAATATGTGTTTCGCTGGTCTTCTCGTTTTTCCCATCTTATGTTTGTTTTGAATTATGCTGTAAACAAATGTGATAAAATTTGGGAGTTATTCATTTTATATGCAAATAAGTTTGGAATATGAATTATATTGTAATTTTAACACCCAAATATAGTTTTGTGTATTGACCTGTATTATATTATATATTTTAATCCTTATTACTTATTCTTCAAAATGCCCCTTTCTCCAAAACCAATACATGACACACCATGAATACAAATCTATCAGTTTCAGTAAAGTTGCAGAAATAAACTTTCAAAGCTTCAACAATATAAACTTTTTAGCACTTCAAGAATACTTTTTTCCTTCAAAACTTAAAGTTTCACAGTTGCAGCCCACACAGCAAAACTCTGTCCAGCACAGCAGTTATAAGTGAAAAGCAAATACATTTAAGAGTGAACGTTTACAGATGGCATTCATCAAACAAATTATTTTTATCATCACAGAAACAATCAAAGAGGAAAAGGTTCAATATTTACAATTTCTATAACGGTGCCTCCTACCTCCAACATCAGGGGACCCTGAAGATGCACCAGAGAGTATGTCTCAGACATCAGTAAATTTCTACCAGAATACATGGAACAACATTCTACCTTCATTCCCACAAATTTGTGTTAAAATAAATCTGTAGGTACTAATGTGACACGAATCACGAGGAAAAGTACAAAGCCGAGATGTGCTAGAAAGTCAGAACAGTAAGATTTGCATACTACTTTTACAAATTACCCAAGTACAAGCTGGTCCTTTATTATAATTTCAATCTGATCAAGAACCTAAAAATCTATTAAATCAAAATACAAATTATTAGTTTGATTCTTACTACCTAACACATGAGGTCCATGATTTTATTTTGAAGTTTTCAGTGCATAAAATGACTTGGGTTACCAAATTTCACAGCTGAGTGCTTAACACTCTACCTTCATATTCAAAAGTCCCAAGTCTAAATATCAGCCTGGAGACTGGCTGGGGTTATTTGGGATTTCCCTCAGTCCCTCCAGAGTAAAGCTGGGAAGGTGCCCTAAATTAGGCCATGACCACTTCCTTCCACACCCTTTCCAATTCATCATTCATTAACCATACATCCTATCATCCTTCGCCACATAGTCTGAACTCATGACATTACCGTTAAATAAACTACACATAAAGCACCAATACATAGAACCAAATAACAGTAACGTGTTAGGAGTATTGGCTAACAGGTTAGACTGATTCATGCTGTGTGTCGGAACTGTAGATTGTGGTCATTGTAATGTACAGTTCTTTCCAGGGTTTCTTTCAACATCCCATTGCAAGATACTAACAGAGCTATTGATGAGGCTCCTGAAATGTTAAATTGTAAGCAGCTTTAATTCCAAGGATCATGCTACACATCTCATCCACCAAACTCAAGTTTATATAACTTCATATCACACAAATACAAACAAGCTATAAAACGTAAAACATGTTATCCAACTACCTGTCCGTTTGGAAGTTTCTTGTTTCCGGTATCCCATTCTGCAGCCTGGCCGCTGTTCTTGCGACCCCTGTTTGCCAGAACAACCTCGCCACAGCGTGTCCACAACGACAGTGTTACAATAACTACTGCAGCACACAGCAATAACAGCACCAACTTCAAATTGAAGCGGATCATGCCGTATGACAAGTCCTATAACAAATACTGGTGACCTACGAATATTCAAGTGAACGTACATGCAGCGTGAAGGATGTAAATGGAAATGTAAAAATTTCTCAAAAATTGGCACATGTACCTGATCATATTTATCCCAAGTACCCCCACAAAATGAATACGACCCATTCAGGATTCGTTTCACTTACTGCTTTTTACATTATTTTCAGAAGATTGTTCTTATAGAAACTAACATTCAGAACAAATGCTGCTTCGTTCAGAATGTTTGTAGCATCGCATAAATGTAGTCTGATTACATTTTATCATTTTTATTGCATATATTTCGACATATCAAATTTACTGAAACAACGTAACACTCCAAAACAAAACACCAACGTGGTGCGCTGAACCCCATATCATCTGTGTGAAGAACGATACTCAATATGGGGTCATAATTCCACTGAGATAGTATGATGCATAGATAACCTCTGACGACAACATTCTGATGAATTTCTTCAAGTTACAATAGTTGGTCTCACTGACATTCGTAAACTCTTGCTGCGCTCTTGCAGGAAACCTGTGAAGTTCGGAGTGTGAGCTTACTTTTACACATACACACACACCACCGCCGCACTCTTGTGCGAAGTGGGTGAACTCAGTAAGATTTGATGTATCGCCCACTTAAACATGAATGATTTCTGGCACGTTTACATCAGCGCGTTACCTGTTACAAATAAAAAGTGGCATGATGACGGCTGCAAGTTCACTTTGATGTCAAGTCTGCCAATGGTACAATCATATTATCATTCATATACAGTACTTTCACTGATAAAGCGGAACGCAACTGTTAACAGTTACATGTAAAATGCAAGCAAAATCTTGGTTCGAAAACCTGAATAGAAGAGACTATTTGCAGGAAACAGGATACCAGTTACTTGTATGCATGTTATTAGCGACAGTCAATTGTTTAGTTCTAAACTGCCGAATGGATACTCTACGATTGCCAGTACTGTCTTCTGTAAGTTTATCTGTGTTAGGTTTTTGGTTTGTTGTGGTAATCCTTAGTCACTAGTGCCACAGGCGACGACTTTTCGAAGTTTCAGGAGTGCTCAGATCTGCTTTACAAATTCTCCCAGCGGATAATTAAAAATTATTCAAAATGCAACTGACGACAGAGAGTCTGCACTAAAAACACGACTCCCTGAAATCGTTCATGGGCACCCAAGTAAAAGCTACTATAGCTAGAGCAGACGTTCACCTTGTAACAAAGCTTATTTTTCCTAAAACT